TTTAAACCTAGATTTTTTTGTTCAACAGTGTCAAATGCACGTAACAAAGCTGGACCCTTCCATCCACAAAAATGGCCACCCTATGTTCGACAAACACCTCGTCTTTCCCGATGAACTCATCCATGGCACTTTCGAAAACACGTGTGTGAAATGCCCGGGGGTCACCCCGGGGTGCGCAAATGCCCAGCTCCCGAGCCTCGATAAAATTGCGAATGCCTCACCCCCGGGACTGACATCGTGAGCAAATGCTCCGCGGTTACCCGGGGGAGGGGGGGGGATGGGCACTGCTGGAATTGACTGATGCATAATGCTCTCCGCAAAATCGACTATTGTAACGAAGTAATTATTCATTCCAATTTCGGCTCCATCAGAAGGAGCAAACAATAATCAACAATGATAACGAGATCAAATGAATTCACTCCCCCCCCCTCCCCCCTTTTTTTTATTTATAATTAAAGTTCTCATATGATAAATATTCAGTGGCCAAAGTTTGAACAAAAATCTATTGACAATTTTATTTTACGGGAATTACCTTAAGTGTGAGATTTTCCTTGAGAGAAATTAGGAATCAATATTCTGGCTCAACAATAAGGTTTTCCGTTGTTAATATATAAAAGAGAATCACAATTCTGGCTAAATAGAACAAAAGTCATTCGTTACGAATTGATGGACTTTTAAAAATGGGATAAATATGGGGGATTTCGACATATTTTAAACAATTATTGGATGAGGTTTTTGTGATATCCAGAATAATCAAGGTCAAGGTAGGGGTTATCAGTCGAAGCCGAAGGCTGAGGTTGATAACTCTTTCCGCGCGAACCTGACATGATTACTCTTAGAAATCATGCTTCGCGGACATACATGACATGATTACCCGTGACCTTGAGTGTCCTTGACATGATTGTTGAATATTCTGCTGCTAGATGACGTCACAGGCGCTGATTTCGAACATTCACTGTTCGCTTTCGGCCAATCAGAAAAGAGATAGGGACTTCAATGTATAATGAAATATAATTAATCTCGTGTTTGTTTGATGATCATCTTAATTATTACTAAAGAGCCCATTTGCACTAGGCTGACAATATTTGTTCGGCTCGGCCATAAACATTACCTCGACAAATCTCTCTCTGCCCAATTTTCCTTTGGTAAAGACGTCCACCGTTAATCAAAGGCTCTTTAAGCCAACTAGTGAACTGGCCAAGCAATTTTCATGCTTTTTCAAATACAAGCAACGGTTGAATTTTGTGGCTACACACGTAGGCGGTGTAGCCACTATGCAGAGGGAACGGCAAAAGGAAACTTTTCTAACATGATTCTCTAGTACAAGTGAATATATGAAAGACCATATACTTGAACTGCGGAGAAAGATATGAAGACATGATTGATCATCGCAGTTATACACACAACTTAAGCTGTTGTGAAATTAAAGCCTGAAAGGCTTGAACGGGATTCGAACCCATGAAAAGATAGTCAATCATCCCTGCATTATCCTCTAATGTTTTTTTCCTTTGATCTGTCATGCGTGATGACAGCTTGTGAGTATTCCAGTAGAAATGGAATCATTGCAGCTTGTTACGCAATGGCGAGAGTAGGTGTCGATACCTGGGAACTTCAAGTGCACCTACCCCCCCTCAATTTTTCTTCCTTTTTTTCGCTAAAACAAATCTACTTGTTATGCGAAATACTTCCGTGAAAAAACGTTTGGATTTGGCTAAATCCTCGATTTTCTGTGCTCCGACGTAATCTGGAAAATAGTACCAAAAACGTTGCCATTTTGTTTCACCGCCAAACTTTTAATAGAAGAATGGGCCCAGAGGCTATCTACATGTCTTTCCTTCAGGATGGTGTTATACGCGTACGAAATGTGTGCAGAAACGACTTTCAGAAGAGCTATCGGCTCTTGCAGAAATATCCCAGGTTTATAGAGAGATAAACTCTACAATTTACCCGTGATAAACGGTCAATGGCATGGTGAGTCTGTTACTCTCACTGGATTTTGTTCCCTTCAATGTAATGCTTTGAAAGAGCAATTCGGTCCTCTTTTGGGATCGTATCTCAAATATCGAACCCCTAAAGGAACCTATCGTAACCTAATGAAACCGATCAAGACGTATCGTAGACCAGTTTTCAATGGACTGAATTGAAACTAAGAACTGAAAAAAAAAATGCACGGAGACCTCAGTACTAGTATAATTTATTTAAGGCATGGCTTGTCATATGGTTAAGCTACAGCTGTTTTGAGTTCAGTAACAACCTACACGGCCTGGTCGCATTGAGCAGTCGTCTCTCCCATGACCTGTAGGATTGAAGGATGACCTGAGTTACTATCAACAATATCTTGGTGTAGATTTTGGTACTTTAATCCTAGGAGTTCTTTTGAAAATTCTAACGATCACCCCGGTGAATTTCATACGAATGTCTCCAGCCCGATCAACGGCTTAAACAAGCCACGAAGGCCACGGCAACGAGAACGTCACCAAAGGTTCCATTTCAGAACAATGGCTGTGCATGAGCGCTAATTGTTTTTATTTCTATTTGTTATTTCAGAATGATTTAACTTTCAAGCGCAGGTTTTAAGATAGAAAACGTCATTGGCCATAAGGACGAAATGCTTGCTTTACCGGCTAAACGTGTTTAAAGATATCCTGTCCTACCTGTATTTACCAAAGCGCCTCGTAGACGTAGTTGTCGTAATCTCTTCCGACACCATTCCAGCAGTTGGTGGATGGACCATGTGCCTTGTAAGACTCCGTGTCCGACACCCAACACTCGCCAAAAAACTGAATGGCGAAGTACTTCTTCTTGGCCTTTTTTGAAGCTTCATAACACATCTCGACTGAACAAAATATGTATGAGTTATTGACCACGCTTGTCCGATCAAGATGGCTGGATATTGGCTAAGTTCTTATTTTTGTTTTGCGTGTTTTTGGGCCGAGACGGAGTCGACCAATACGAGGCCAATATCCAGCCATCTCGATCTAACAAGCTTGGACAGCGCCATCTTACCTGCTCTGGTAGCCAATCACAGTGCTGGATTTAGTTCATCTTGTTCGCTCACGGAACCAGCGATATAGTAAATATGCGTAGTTCAGTCGCACTGGTGACTTTCTCTTATGGTCTTGAGAAAATTTGAGAGAGTTTATAAAACTCTGGCTCACACGTTAAGTGCAGAAGGCATGCGCACTAACTAAAGGAGCGAATGAAAGGTGAGTCTTTGTTTACAATAACCTCTTCATTAGCATAGGCGATCTAGTTTCAGATCGAGCTACAAAAAAAAAAACAGTTCTAAACATTGAAAGATCATAACAAGAAAACTGTAATTGTCCCAGTGTATTTGAGAAAGATGTATTAAATACTTTTTATGCAACGCGGGTTTAAAAACATGAAATTCTACAAAGAATGTATGGGCCATTAGCGCTTTTACCACATAGCAATTGTGCAGTTTTTGAAAGCCAATATGTCCCTCAAATTTTACACCTAAGGAGCTAAAAATGTTCACCATGTGTTAAGTTTCATAAGCTCATTATATTTTTGAAGTCAATTTATATCGATCTTGATCCCCTCTCGACGCAAAGTTATATGCTAATGAGGCAAAATGTAAACAATGAGGTCATCAAGGATCGCCCCATATTCGGCCATTGATACAGACTCGTGTCCAGTCTTACGCTCGGTTTGGATAGGCTGTTGCTAGTTGCTACTCATACTTACCTGTCTTTTCCATATGAAACCAATCGATTTTTCCTCGGAAGTTAGCCAGCAGAGTCATGGTACGACCATCACCCGTGTCACGCCAGCATCCGAGGTCGTGCCACGGAGCAAAGCGGTAAACAAAGTTGTGAATGTGGTCACCAACACCTAGAGCGTCAAGAAAAGCGTGCATAATTAATCAAGGGACTCTGAAAGAGACGTCCCCTCCTGCTTCTGGAGAGTTACCTTCATTTATTGATCGAACACAGTTTTCAGCTGGAATGTTGTTAACTAAAGCCTGGTTTTCACTACGACATAAACACAAGCATAAGTATAAGCACAGTCGTAGTGACTGACAAGTGAGAACGCTGTAAGCATAAACATAAGCATAAGCATAGGCGAAAGTCCGCCATCTTGTTTTACTGTGTCGAAGAATTATGAACCAAAAATAAAGCAACTGTCCATTCTGCGCATGTACGTGCTTATGCTTATGCTGTGGGCGTTTTGTGCCTGCGCTCATGTCGTAATCAATAGCAGGCTTAACGGCATGGTTTCAAACGTATTCGAACACTTCTTTGTTTAGGACTATCTAATTAGCAAGAACACTACGACCTTTTTTGTCCAGGCGTTTTTCCTCAATCCACTGGTCTAACTTGTTGCTTATATGCGCCCTTCAACAGGTATATATAACTAGACCTGGTAATTGATCAGTTCCAGCTATAGTGACTTCATGACTCAGTGTTAGAGCATCTGTAATGGCATCCCAAAGGTCATGAGATGGGATCTCCGACCGATTATTCCCTGAACATTTTCATACCTCTGGACAAAAGCTAAGGACGTGTAATGAGGAAGGACAGAGAAGAACATTCCGTTACAGCATTGGAGTGGAGGCCAGAGGGGAGGAGAAGACCAGGTCGACCCAAAACAACATGGAGGAGAATGATTGAAGAAGAAAGGAGCGTAGTTGGGTGGCAGTCATTGGCGACTGTCAGGGCTCTAACAACAAATCGAAGTGGGTGGAAAGAGAACTGTCGAGGGCTTAGCTACCTAATGCCATGAAGAGATATAGGTATAGGTAGGTAGGACAATAGCTACATTTTTCCAAGGTTACGATCTCATATTTAATGTATTTAATGTATTCCACACTCACCGTCAGTGCAGCCTTTCCCAGGACCATGCTTATCGTAGGTCGGTCGGGGTCGATCGTCTCCCCAGCACTCTCCATAAAACTGCACCGCGAAGTACCTATAACCACGCACGAAGGCCCGTTCGGCACACTTCGTCACAATCGCTCGCCTGTTCCACCAATCGATGTTTTTTCGGAGATTAGCGTAAAGATTGTCTAAGGCCCGGTCACTAGACTTATCTCGGTAGCACCCGACCTCTAGGATTTGTGGGACACCTTTCGTTTGAAGGAAAGAAAATATACGGACTCAGGAATTGTGTTAACATTTAAGTACAATTTTGTAAATCTGAAAACATACCTGACATTTAAATTAAGGACGTTCGCGCTAATTTTTTCTGCGCATCCTTACTGCGCACACAAATGCACACGCCACGTCATGTATGAGAGTGCGCGCGCTAAGTAATAAAATAAGAAATGATAGGGCAGATTGCCATTGCTGTAGCTTTGCCTGGGTTTAACGATCTTGGACGTTCGGTGGCCCCTACTTTCCTCTCCAGAAACAGAGTTTATTTACAATTATCTCCACATTGTTTAAAAATGAACAAAAAATCAACGTGGGAAGTTAAAAAAATTTCAAGATTTCTGTCCACGGGACATCGAATCCTGCCATCTTGCGGCTACAAGGCCCATGAAACTATGGTCGCTAAATACGAACTTGTTCTTTAAGGAACCTCACCAGTTGAAAAAATGTTTAAACAATATTTGGCAGAGAACATTTCACTTCAAAGATCTAATTGCAATATTTTTGGGCTTACAGACACTGTGGCCTTAAGGCGTATACATGTCTACAAAATCATATAAGTACCTAAGATGTAACGGAATGATCTGATAATTTTGCTTTTCCATTCGACCAAGACTTCCGATTTGCATTTTCGGACATCTCCTGTGGCTAATGGAACAGCGCTTCTGGAATTTCCGGAAAAGAGGACAGCCTCGCGTTTTTCCCCTTCGATTCATGACCCGCGCACTTCACGCTTGGGTTATAAATCAATGGGGAAAAAACTCAGTCCGTAACTTACAGTACAGCCCTCGAACTAGGTTAGTAAGATGTATGTATGCCAAAATTCATAATCTGAAGGTTAAAAATGTAATGTTGCGGTATGGCCAGGGTTATGAACCAATATCCTCTTACGGGACGTGTCCCGTTACCCTGAGAATGACTCTACGGGCCTCCAGGCGTATCCTCACCGATGTCATACCAGAACGGTTTTTAAGGAATTATTGATTTATTCATTTGATCTGATGATACTGAGGTGCAAAAAAATATTGTTTATGTTTCCCGCTCTATCCGTTCTCCTGTAATTCATGACTTTTATGGGATAAAGTTATAGACTATTAACAGAATTTTTTCATGTGGCTTCAGCATTCTTCCTCACCTTGTTCAAGACAACTGACGCCAGCGTCTCTCTCGTGGTCACAACTGTTCTGCCCCCACCCCGGGTGGGGGCAGTCTAACAGTGACTTCTCTTCCCCAGTACACCTCATCTTACTCAGCAGCACTGGCCCAGTGCCCTGGCCAAACTTAGCGCGGTTGGCCTGTTGGATGAATACACATACTTAGCATTACGTTAGCACGATAGCACTCTTGAAACTGTTTTGCCAGGTTAGCTTTTGAAATTTTGGGGAAAACATTTTGGAAAACTCATCTAATCCATGTGGCAAACCGTCTAACTCAAGCTCTGGCTTCAATGGTTAACAATTTTGAAAAGCTTGCTTGATAAATCAGTGTAAATGCAGACCTTTCTTGATATTTTCACCTTCCCTGATAAAACCCTTAAACGCCGCAAACCTTGCCTTATCAACCCATCGATTGTAAGTCTTTCCTGGGAAACCCATCAAATGGAAACCTTTCCTGCAAACCACCAGGGTTGGGCAATTTTCTGGGGTATGAATTTATTTT